GCGCGCGAAGCTGTTCTGCACGGACGCGTGCCTGCGGCGCTACCTGCGCGCGCGCGGCTGGAATGTGCCCAAGGCGGAGAAGATGCTCCGCGACACGCTTCGCTGGCGACACGTGTACCGACCAGAAGAGATCACGTGGGTACGGCCGCAGTTACCCCTTAGACGCTTCCTGAATTTAGGACAGCCCCTCGCGCAAATCCGTCCACTTTTCCTAACTATAAATGTTCAATTCAGCCTGGTCACGAGCGTTTTTTTATGGGGATGTGTGGTTGGTTGGTTCAGGAGGACGTGGCGGAAGAGGCGGCGACAGGCAAGGTGTATCGCACGGAATTCCTGGACAAGCAGGGCCGCGCCGTCATTGTCATGTCCGCCGGCCGCCAGGTGAGCCTATCTGCCCGCACATCTCATCCGGGACGACAGCCTTTCCAGTTTCAGATCAGCCTGATCACACACTTTGTCCCGCTCATTCACGCTCCCTGAAGCGACGTTCAGTCGGACTGCTTATTCCGAGTTGGCAGCCTATCTCAACGGATTCGACTCACAGGAAAGGTGCTGGTTGATCCATCCAACGCCGCTCCCCCAATTCACACTCGCCCTTTGACCGCAGAACACGGTGGGGCATGCGGGGCAGGTGCGGCACCTGGTGTACGCGTTGGAGAACGCCATCAACCACCTGCCGTTGGGCACGGCGCACAGCCGCATGGTGTGGTTCATCGACTTCCGCGGCTGGACGCTGCGCAAGGCGCCGCCCCTCAAGACGTCACGGGAGGTGCTCTCCATCCTGCAGAACCACTACCCCGAACGGCTGGGGCAGGCTGTGGTCTATGACCCCCCGCCGTCTTTGAAACCTTCTGGAAGGTGGGTCAAGGGGGGTGAGTGGGCTGCGGGGCATGCGAGTTGGGATTTTCATTTTTTGGGGGGGGGGCGGTTTGAGAGTTTATTTGGAGCGCTGCACATGAATGCTCAATGCCGGGTGTGCTGGTTTGCGCTGCTTGGGGTTCAGGGAAAGGAATTGTTCCGTGCTTACTTGCTCAATTGTTCCCATGCCACATGCTCACATTACATGCTCCCATGGTCACACCCCTGGACATCCCTCTTGCATTGCACGGCCCTCTCTTCGCGCCCAGATGGTGCGGCCCTTTGTGGATCCCAAACACGTTCAGGAAGATCCTATTTGTGTACCCCAGCAAGCCCGACACCATCGCCAAGCTGGAAGAGATCTTTGACTTGGAGCAGCTAGACCAGGGCTTTGGAGGCCGCTCCACGTGGGCGTTTGAGCTGGAGGCGTACAGCCAGGCCATGCGCGCCGATGACGCCCGCGCGCAGGCCTTCTGGGGCATCCCTGCGTCTGTCATTGCTAGCCCCAGACGAAGGGATCCTGTGATTCCGGCAGCAGATGATGATGATGATGCTGATGTGCCGGCAGATGCAGAAGCTGGAGCAGGAGAAGGAGAAGCAGGGGACAGTGAGGGTGGTGTGCGTGCAGCAGCAGAGGGACAGGCAGAGAACGGGGAGGTGGGAGCAGAGGCAGGGTTGTCATCACGTGGTGCTGGGGCTGAGAGCCTGGGGGGACAGGAGGCCGGGGCGCTTCTGTCTGATGCTGAGAGCGGCGGCAGGGCTGATGAGGGCTACAGTGTGACTGTAGGGGGTGCGGCTCCAGGTAATTCAGACGCCGTAGCAGGGACTGTACCAGCAGGAGAGTTGCGAGAGCAAGAGAGGGAGGAGCGGAATGGCAGTGGGGGTAGTGCGGAGGAGCGGGAGCAGGACGGGAGCTTCTGGCTGCCTCTGAACGAACCGGCAGTGAAGGAGAGTGTGCATGCACAGAACATAGCACATGCACACCACGTGCTCAAGAGCACGTTCAGCAAGATGAGCATTGAGTTCAAGAAGCCCGCGTGGATGCAGAGATGACACCGCTGGGGCACTGATGGCGCACTAATGGTGCAGTGTGATGTGATGTGATGCTAACACTTGATGATGCGCCCAGGGCACCCTGGATACTTGTGCAATTTGTGCTTTCTCATGTTGAAGTGAAGGTTGTGCCTCACCAGTGATGCTATGAACAAGATGCATACGTACACATTTCAAATCAGAATTGTGCATCACAAAGCATAGTTCTCTATCTGACATACAGGTGCAGCAAGCAGCATAACCCGGTGCAATTCACACACGCTCTCACTGAACAGGATGCATAACAGGCCATACTGCACGTGCGCTCACTACAAGATAGAACGGCCGCAAGAGCATCGCCAGCCAGCCAGGCGGGCCGGCAATCAGGCAGCAGCTGCAGTGTCATGTCATGTCACGTCAGTAGATGACTGCGGGCTGGTTGGGCCTCTTGCAGCGCTGCCGTGTGCGCCCCGCCACTCCTGCAGCTGCCGTGGGCTGTGCTGTGAGTGCATACATCTTCACCACAAACAGCTCCGAAGGGAACCCACGCTGCACCTGGGAGAAGCAGAGGGAAGCAACGAGCAGAAGAGGGAGGAAGCTGTACTTACTAGTGGCTGCAAGGGTCAAACCAGCAAGAGCTCGTGCTGGGAGCCCATGAAATAACACTTGGATACCTTTGGATGGTTCCAACCTTCAAATCGGTACCTTCAGTACCTTGGATTTTAGTGCCTTCGTTTTAAGCACACTGAATGTGAGTACCTTAGATTTTGGGTGCCTTCGTTTTAAGCACACTGAATGCGAGTACTTTGGATTTTAGTGACTTCGTTTTAAGCACCCTGAGTGTGAGTACCTTGGATTTGAGGAGCTGCAGGTTGGCCTGTTTGAAGAGGTCTCTGAAGTATGCATCGCTGCGCGTCACACTGCTGTCCGCCTTGTCCAACACGAACCCTGCACACACACACACACACACACATGCATGCACGCATGTGCCCATGCAGACGTGCATACGTCCATACAACCATGCATCCATGAGGACATACAGTCCAAACGCACCCACCCATCCCCCAACACACCCACCCACCCACACAAGCAACGCCCACCCGCACGAGAACAATGATGTCAGGCTTAATTATGACGGATAAACACACCCCACAACAGCTACAAACCCCGAGTCAGGTATTGCACGAATGGGGTGACATGACTTGGCGTGGGGGTGGAAGGAACGAGGAAACTGGGTGCCCATTGTGACACGTGCTCTCCCCCACCACTACGATTTTACATTCCACTCAGAGTTACCTTTCTGGCACGTGTTCTCCTTGAGCACTATCATGCCGCCCCGCCGCAGCCCTGCCTGCAAGCGGGGCAAGGGCAGAGTACGCACAGAGAGAGGGGCGGAGAAGGGAAGAGTTGCAGGTGACGTGGGGAGTGGAGGAGTGGTGGAATGGAAACAGCAGCAAAAACAGCACCACTTTTCTGGGTAACAGATTCAAAGCAAGTAAGGCTCGACTGTTTATCGAGCACGCACGAGGCAGCGGCGGAGGAAGGCGATGAGGTCAGCGTCAGTGAGGTGGCCGATGCACCACTGCACCCACACCACATCGTACCGCTCTGCATCTGGACTGAACTCCTGCCCACCAGGCACAGCAGGGAGGGACGTGCAGCAACGGTGCAAGGACGCGTGTGAGGGGTGGCAGAAGGGGAGAGAACGGTCAGAAGGGTTGAGAGAAGAGGAGGGCGAAAAATTAGGCAAAGGGCGAGCTGATCACTGATGCTGATGCTGATGCTGATGCTGATGCTGATGCGCTGATGCGCTGATGCTGATGCTGATGCTGATGCTGATGCTGATGCTGATGCTGATGCTGATCCTGATGCTGATGCTGATGCTGATGCGCTGATGCTGATGCTGATGCTGATGCGCTGATGCTGATGCTGATGCTGATGCTGATGCTGATGCGCTGATGCTGATGCTGATGCTGATCCTGATGCTGATGCTGATGCTGATGCTGATGCTGATGCTGATACTGATGCTGATGCTGATGCTGATGGTGATGCTGATGCTGATGCGCTGATGCTGATGCGCTGATGCTGATGCGCTGATGCTGATGCGCTGATGCTGATGCGCTGATGCTGATGCTGATGCTGACGCTGATGCTGATGCTGATGCTGATGATGCTGATGCGCTGATGCTGATGCTGATGCGCTGATGCTGATGCTGATGCTGATGCTGATGCGCTGATGCTGATGCGCTGATGCTGATGCGCTGATGCTGATGCTGATGCGCTGATGCTGATGCTGATGCTGATACTGATGCTGATGCTGATGCGCTGATGCTGATGCGCTGATGCTGATGCGCTGATGCTGATGCGCTGATGCTGATGCTGATGCTGAAGCTGGGAGGGGGACGGAAGCGACAATTCATGTTAAGTAACACGCAGAAAGGCGGGTTTACTTTGGAAAGGCAGCACCTGGGAAGGCAGCACCTGGGAAGGCAGCACCTGGAGCGGGCAGCACCTGGAGCGGGCAGCACCTGGAGCGGGCAGCACCTGGAGCGTGCAGCACCTGGAGCGGGCAGCACCTGGAGCGGGCAGCACCTGGAGCGGGCAGCAGAAGAAGTTGACGGCACGGTGGGAGGCGGCAGGTGAGGCAGCAGAGGAGGGTGGCGAGGTGAGGTGGTGTCGGGCGGCATCTATGAAGTGCCGCACCGGCTCCACTAGATCCACCTGCGCGTGCAGGCACAGAGGGGAAATCAGATCAACTGAACATGAACATGCAACGGTCCATAAGGTGCAGTCACAGTGTCACGCGGGCACACTGGAATGCAGTGTGGTGTGAACACCCACCCCACCCACCTCGTTGAATACGTGCAGTAGGAACTCCTTGGTCACTCGCCCTATGCCCGCTCCACAGTCTGCCACGCGGGATGGTGGGGCGGTGAAGGGAAGACAGAGGAAGTGAAAGGGGGGAGGTGCAGCATGCAACAGGCAGGAGCTGAAGTTGTGATGCAGGGCGCAGGGCAGATGGAGAGTGGATTCAAATTAGTGACCCCATGCCCGAGCCTGTGACCCCATGCCCGAGCCTGCGACCCCATGCCCGAGCCTGTCACCCCATGCCCGAGCCTGTGACTTACTCCCCCGCTCCTCCCCCACCCCCTCCTCTTTGATAGCACGCGCCCAGAGCGACCAGCGGGCGGCCCTGTGAGCGAGCGGAGTCGAGCTGTGCACCTCGAGCTGTGCACCTCGAGCTGTGCGCCATACACCTCGTGCAGGAAGGCCGCACTGCCCCCTTTACCCCACCCCCTCCTCCCCACCCCCTCCTCCCCCACCCCCTCCTCCCCACCCCCTCCTCCCCACCCCCTCCCCTCTCATAGCACGCACCCAGAGCGACAAGCGGGCGGCCTTGAGAGCGGGCAGCGTCGAGCTGTGCGCCGTACACCTCCTGCAGGAACGCCGCACTGCCCGCCGCGTCTGTTGCGCTCACCGAGCCGTACCCCCCAACACGCCGTCCACACTCGCCTCCACGCCCTGAGATGCACGAAAGGGGGGGAGCGGGGAGGGGAGAGAAGAGGGGAGGCAGGGAGGGCAAGCAGTTGTGAGAAAAGGAGGGAGGGAGGAAGAACGAGAGGAGAGATGGGCGGAAGGAGGGGAGAGGCAGCGCGCACCTCCCAGTATTTGACGCCCTTGTCGTACCATTCGCGCTTCTTCCCGCCCATTTCCGCCTCCATTGCGCCCTCCCCGCTTCCCCCTTCCCCCGCGCTCACTGCGCGCTCCCCCGTCTCCTGCCGCCACATTTCGTCCGCCGACGCATACTGTCGCCCCTCCGAGTCCACCCCTCCGCGCATCGCCTCGCGCGCGGAAAACCCGCGCGGCGCAGGTCGGGATCCGCCGCGACGGGAAGATGCGCAAACGACGAGACGGGACGAAGGACGGTGGGAACGTCCGGGGGACGCGGAACGCAGTTGGACCGGCGGGAATGGATGCGGCTGGGTTGGGAAATGCGTCAATCCTCGAGATACTGTGTGATACGCTAGTTTCGCCGTGTTTGGGTGGTTCGTGTGTAGCGAGGCGGATGATTCGAGTCTGATTGGGTGACGTGGGTGGTGGAGCGATAAGCTCGAAATGATACCCCGCATAGCTCGGCGGATTGAGCGGCGTGCCTGGAAAATAGTCCTTGCTGTAGCTGATCAGTGATGATCACAGTGTGGGGGGATGGATTGCTGGGCATCAATCAAAACTGCCTCGTCAAAAGTGTTCTCAATTGACGGTGATGTCATAATGGCAGCTTTGCCTACTTCACTATCACAAAGAGGTAATGAGTGTAAATCTGATCAACGTAATGAGTCCATGTTCAAAGCAGTGGAACAGCTCTGTGCTCCACATGGCGCACACGCACACTTCAGATTCTCATTGCACCACATGCACATAGAAAAATACCGTAAGTGCACCAGCTTTTTGGTTTCTGGAATTTATGAGTAAAAACACAAGGTGAAGAGCAACCACAAGCAAAAACACCAGCCTCAGATCAAAAGGGCCAGTCTGCTTCAATAAATGTTCACACATGCAGTACGGAAATCCTTGGTTCATGGTCTGATGCGAAAGCAAGCACCGTACTCCACTCCACTCCACTACAAATACGTCAATGAAGAGTACGAGGTCCCATATGTGCACATTCCTTCTGATGCTCCTTCAAATACTCGTAAGCCTGCTTTCCAGTAATCAAGTCAGCAACAGGCGCTGGGCTCTTCCCAGCCCCCACTCCTCCAGCACTGCTCCTCACATTCGAGCTGGTCCTGGCACTTGGTATACCTGACAACCCACTCACCCTATCACTCGCCCTTCCACTCACCCTGTCACGCTCTATACCGCTACCTCTGGCCTGGGAGTCCCCATCGCTTGATGCAGAGCTGGCCCTTGTGCCCCTTGCAGCCATGTGCTGTGCACTGTCCCACAGCCACGCTGCCTGCTGCTGCAAGCTCAGCACCCCTGCTCTGTGAGCGTACTCTTGAGTGTGCTCTGGTGATGCAGCAGGGAGCCTGTGACCTGCCAGTCAAGCATAGAGGACATGAAATGGTGAGGGGCAGAAACAGCAAGGGATGATAAAACGCACACAATGCAGTTGAATGTTTCTCACCGGTTGAAGCGCCTGGAGTGTTTGGAAACATTGCTGGTTGTCTTGTTGCCCCAGCTGCAGCTTGGCTCGGCTCAGTTTGGCGCTTCCCCTGACTGGTCACTGCTCCGTCATATGCCAGCACGGGGCTTGAGGACTGCGTGTTCTGGCTTTTAACTCCCTTGTCTGTTCCTCGGTTGCTTGAGGCCCATGGCTTGGCTCCAGGAGAGCGGGAAACACTCATGGTGGCCAGCGACTCAATTGCCTGCATGAGCCCGTCAAAGCCTGACTGCAGCCGCTTGTCCACTGGAGGAGGGACTGCCTTCACTGGGGTCTTGTGCTCCGCCTTGCTCGCCCTGACAGCCGTGAGTGAGGGACTGGAAGTGACGAATGGCAAGACAGAACGAACAGAAAATACTCACCAGGGGTCCTGATTGGCAGTTGCAGTCTGGGATGGCTGCTGAAGTGCCTGCACTTCAGCCTGAGTAGGGGAGCTGGATAACGTGACTTCAACCTTACCCAACATTGTTGCTGCAGATCCTTTGCCCACTAAATGGTTCCCTTGCGCTCCATGCAATCCAATGCCATCACTACCACCAACATCATCCAACGGCTTGTCCATGCATGCACTCGCCCCATCAGCAGCACCCCCTGGTGGGTCAGTTCCACGCTTCTCAGCAAGGCGCTGAGAGGCACCATCAGCTCCATCAGACTTATCTTCTCCTTCCCCCTCAGGCTCGGAACCTTCAGCATTGGAGCCCTGAGCCACATCTGTTCCTTTGTCATGCAGAGCTGTTGTGATGGCTCCCTTCCTTATGGTAGGTGGGACTCCTGAGTTGGAACGTGAAGCAAGAGGAGTAGGCGCCTCCAGTCCCCCAATGCGCCCCTCCAGCCGAGAGACATTACCTGACCCCCCTCGCATCAGCATTGCCTCCCTGGCTAGCTGAGCAGCCACCAAACGGCGCCCTGGCTCCTCACTGACCAGCTTTGTTTTCCACCAGTGGTCATCCAATATGACCCGTGGGCGCCGTGTGCCCATGGAGGTGCTACCACCAGCGCTCGTTTGGGTGGCAAGAGGCCACTTCTCTTTGACATGGTCGGTGGAGCTGCTGCTGCCGGTGCTGTCTCTGGCGTGGCTGTGGCTGGACTGCTCACTTGATTTGCTTGACCCGTCACTGGATCTCGCACCGACAACAATCTCTGACGAGTGCTCGCCCTTCAACTCTTTGGACAACTCCATGCTGAGGCTTCCGCTCAAGGCTGTTGAATGATCACACGCATAGGCACCTCCATCCAGCTCACATGGTCTTCTCCCTTCACTGACCCCATCCCCACTAACCTCAGCGGCCCCATTCCTTTTGCTGGAACCATCTCCATCCTTCTCATCACCTTGTTTGCTCCAAACAGAACGCTGCAACCATCCTCTGCACTCGCTTGTGACTCCAAGCCTTTTGCATCATCAACCTCAACGTCAGCAACTTGGTCCAGGCATGAACCGTTTTCAGGGTGCTCCATATCAGGTGGGAGGGCTTGCGGGTCTGGGGTAGATAGCCTCTCCTGATGGTGACTCGTTTTAAAGAGGGATGCAGCAGCATTTTTGTATGCATCTTGTCTGCGCACCTCTTGTTCCTGCACTCAACAAGTAAACAGCGTCAGCCCAATGACATAGGCCTGGATCTTCCCTTGCATGCTTAATAGATTCATACCTGTAGCTTCTTCCTGTCCAATTCACTCATTTCAGCCATGTGGTCATCATTCTCCTGGTTTCTCCTGAATGCACCACCAAGATCCACCATTGCACCACTCATTTTTGACCCCAGTTCGACAAATGCTGCTACAGGAGCAGCAACGATCATCTGCAGGGATGACAGATTCTTCAATGCAGAATTCTGAGAGACTCCCTCGTGGCCTGCTCCATCTGATGCTGCTGTGGCTGCAGCTGCGTGCTGCCCTGTCGATCCGAATCGCCAAAGTGCGGGCTTACGTGAGGTGCTGCCTGTCTCCCCAATGAAGCCACCCTCAGAACCTCTCCCTTTTGCAGAGGAGCTGTTGGAGGTGGTTTCTTTTGGCCCACCTGACAATATCTGCACTCCAGCTGCTATATTAGCTAGTTCCGCATGCCTGGAAACGTCTGCTCGAGCACTCTGTCTCTTCATCAAACCACTCGTGTTGCCATAACCCATTATGCGTGCTTTGAGCTCGTCATGAGTCAGCTTCTGCTTCTCAGCGGATTGCATGGGAGCAATGATGTCGACATGAGCACTCTCCACGTCATCCGCCGCCATCTGATTAGTAGAAGTCACTTCCACAGGATGGCATTCCACATCATCACCTGTTGAGTTAGCAGCACCCAGGCCAGTGTCAGAGCTTGCAGTGACATTGGTCTCGTTAACTTGATCGGTTGGTGAACTTGCATTCACAGCATCAGGAGCTGATGAATCACCCTCCACCGAATCTTCAACCCTTTGCTCCACGCTTGTGTTCAAGGAACAAGGCACAGAGTCAGATGCAGCTTCTGGGGTGGCGTCGTAACTAGTCACTGGTACTGATTCCGTCAGCCGCTCCTCTACTGCTGCTTCTGGCAAGATATGCTCACTGGTGACGTTTTCGTTGGGAAAGCCGATGGGAGGAAGCCTTATGCTGGTGCCAGTCATGTCATACATACTTAAAATCCACTCAAGAATCGCACTCATAGGCGTAGCATGAGCTTGCGCCTTGCTTAATGCGTCTGATTGTCACAAAATGAAGAGGTATTAGTACACACTCACTCAGTGTACGCACTCGCATCAAAGAAGCATTGACATCAAGGAACATACCATGGTCCACGATGGAGGAAACTTCACCATCGTTGTTGAACAAAACACAGCTTGGCACTACCAAGTCACGCTGGCCACCTGACTTGTCATTTTTGCTTGACAGAAAAGAGCGAGAGCGAGAAAACTGAATACCGATTTTGCGTGTTTCCACCGGATTCGAGGCCACTTCGGAATCGTGGGGTTCCATTATGCGACCCTTTTTCAGGTTCCATGAAAGAGCAGTGGGTGGCATGCTCTCAGAAGATATCTTTGACGCGTTTCCTCGTGGAAGACGTAGAGCAGTGAAGTAATAGACGAGCAGAACCGCATTCGAGCCGATTCCAAGACTTCGAGACAATGACGAGACATTGCACGCGACTGAGGCATGTTCCTCTCCACAGGACAGGTGTTCGCATGCAACGATTGTAACACCGAGCGCCTCATTTGTTCCAAATGCCCTGTCAGGGTAGCATATATTAGTTGTTTGATACCAAGCCTACTAGACATTCACTCCAACACGAACCTCTCTGGAGATAGAGGTTTGGGTGCGCAAATCAGCTGAGCCGTCGCGTGAGCTCCTCTCTTGTTCTTGCGTAAAACGGGAGCCGAGAACGCCAGCAAATGCAAGCCTGCTGCTGCCTCTTTAGAAGGCACAGCGGAACGGGTTGTGATAACCAGACCGCCATCAAGCAGTAATCCTGTAAAAACCTCCTCCTTTTGGAGCTTCGCCAAAAGGCTAGCGCAGCAATCAGGTTCTAAATCTCGCAAAGAGGATACGCCGAGTCTGTTTGAGAAAACGAAGCGTGTCAATCCGACTTTCAATAGGGAAAAATACGGTGCAATAAGCGCTTACCTGCTTAACAAGACAACCGAGACCTGGTGTGGCTGTATGGATTCGACTGCTGGCGAGGATGAAGCGGAAAATGACCCACAACCGAAAGCCATAAGGATGCTTTCTTTAAAGCACCACTTACCTACCTAACGAGAAAATACTTCCCACCACGTAAAGGGATTTACAGTCTAGGAATTTGAAGCTCAACTGAGGTATCCATTGCAATCAAGTGCTCAGCGACCAACAGCAACACAGAGTAGTTGTGGAAAGCAGGAAAGCTTGGCTTCCGGTCGCTGTAAAAGGTCTCTTCGCTGACGACGTGAAATTCAGAAAGGTGGTTCCAATTTCGCTAAGGTCGTGAGCAGCTACAGCCAGTACAGTAGAAATTCGACTGGAAAATATTCCAATAAACAAGCATTTTATTTCTGCTATTTCTTGCAACCATGGAAATAATGTTAATCACCCTTTCAGACTTCTAAATGTGCACTCCACAATGTTTGACAAAACGTCATCATTACACCGTTTCCGTACAGGGGCATAGTTCAATAATCATCCCATCCAGGAGATCCGACTCTGACACAATGCATGCTGTGCACTGAAGCACTTCCATTATTGATAACACAGCACAAATACCCCCAATGATCACGTCCACATGCCCTTCCCACATGCCAGGTAAGTGAGCTCTGTCCTCTCGTGTCATTACGCTGCATTTCTCCAGTATCCCTTTCACCATTTCCACATCCAAAACAAAACCATGAACTTTCTCCCTTGCGTATGGAACGCCCTGAGCAAGGGCAGCAAGTGTTGTCAGTATCCCTCCTGTGCCCACCACCACTCCCTCCCCTCCACGTGTTGCCACTCCAGAACTACTCCCTCCTACATGATTTATGACAATATTCTGTGGCTGATGGTTACCAACGTGCTTGAACCAGTCCGTTGACAGTGCAGGAGAGAGTCTGCAGTGGTAGGCCTCCCTGGCAGCATGACGAGCAGCTTCAATGCTGGATGGGGAGGTGGGGCTGAGGTGGAGGAAATAGGAGCGTGATAGAGAGGAGGAGCCGATGTCAACTGAGACAACAGTGTGAGGGCCAGAGATAGTGGGTGAAGACGAGGTCAAAATGGAGGAACTGGAAACTGCATCCCTGAACGGAGGAAAGATAGTGCCTAAGGCCACCTCTGATGAACCACCGCCGATGTCTATCACTGCAAGGGGTGCTCCCCTCACTTCCTCCGTCAATAATCTGCTGACTGCCGCGGTGGCGCCAAGGAATGTCAGCTTGCCCTCTTCTTCCCCTGATATGACTTCTGGAGTTGAACCAATCACTTGTGCGGCTGGGATGAGAAGATCTGCAGCATTGACTGCACGCCTAGCAGCTGACGTAGCGCACATGCGCGTTCGCGAGACCCTGTGAACGCGACATAGCTCGGCGAAGTACCTCAGGATATCAAGGCACGTGGAAACAGTGTCAGGAGAAAGGGTACCATTGCGTGCCACGTCAGCTCCAAGAGTCACTGACCGTGTTTCGCGAACCAGCTCTCTGCTTGGGAAACATGAACTAATACCTTCTCCGCATTCGCATATGAGGAGTCTAAGCGCATTAGTCCCGCAATCTATAGCCGCCACACGCACAGAAGCGGAGCTGTTGGGAGAATCAAGATGTCGAATTGCGCTCTCCGGCTGCATCTCATGGCCAGCTCTGATCCACAAATGTCCATGTTTTTTTATTGGAGGAGCGATTTTCCCGGACTGGACGGGAAGCGGGGACATGAAGTCCCAACGGTGGCCTGTCGGCTTGATTTGCTGCGAATTGGAACATGTGAAGGTCGCGGATCGTCCCCGGCCGAAAGCAAGACACTGCGGCCCCACGCTACATGACGCCCTCCTAAGATTTCTCTGGCATAAAGCGGGACAAATGCTGCTAGCTAGCGAACATCCTTGACGCATAGGAGCGACTAGGAAACACATGATGCATGTCGGCTTGCCAAGAGACTGCTGGTAATTGGTCCAGTTTGCTCCTTACGTGATATGGCTGGCAGCGTCTGTGACTCGCCGAAACAGAATCAAGGGTCTTCAGTGCTGTCTTGCAAAAACATGGTACGCTGGTATGCATTATCTGGTATGCATTATCCGTGCCGCACTTTATTCTGCTCTGGCTGTAAAGGAACGTCTAGTTACAGCCGCCTTCCAAAGCGTTTATGAACACTAAGAAGCCCTTGAGTAATTACGGTAGATACCAAGGGCATGACATCTGCACCAGGGTGTGACAGGTCAAAACCCAAAAACCCAGCATTACACGGCAGCTTATGAGAGCCATGGCATTGGCCATACTCTGGTCCCAGAGAGACGTGGTACTTTTCCAGTCCAAACGTAGGGAAAAAGTGGACAGAAAACACTTGTGTCAGGGAGAGGACAATGGTGGTTGAGAACGTCGCTGCATTGAACAAGCGCTAACATTGAGAGTACATGCTCAACGGAACCTATCCGTCAACAGCTTATCGGTTGATCTCCTCGTCCAGGTCAATGTGGATGTACTCTGTGTCGTCCTCCAGCCGCTTGCGTGAGCCGCTCCCAGCTGGCACTGGCGTCAGAGGCAGGCCCAGGCGGCTCTTGCCCTTCGAAGACTTCGGCCGGCACTGAGAGGAGAGAAGGGGAATGAAGGGCAGTCACTTGTTGAGTGAGGGAAAAGGGACTGTCGATGGCTTACACATTTGACAGAACATTGTGTATCCTGGGGGAAAAATGGATTTGCAGAAGAGACCAAACACTAAGTCTTAGCTTACGTTGCCAAAAGATCCACGTGTCCTCTTTCCTTTCGCGGTACGCTTGTCCCCACGCCCACAATAAACTGCACAGAACGATCATCCGAGGCCACAACACCAGGTCACGAATTTTCCTTTTCTGAAATAACGGGCGAGGGAGGTTTCGACACCACCCATAACCTAACTCCTCTGAACGCAATATGCTGCTGTGATATGAAAACCAAATGAGATGAGAGGATTGCAAGAGCTATCGCACAATGTGAAAGCTAAAACGCTTGCCTTGCGGAAATCCCGCAACCTTCAGCGCATCCTGGTTCACGGGAGCTGCGCAGGAAACCTGCGAAGAAGACTCTGTCAAAGTCGCGCAACTCCCAAGGGAAGCTGCGGGAGTGGAGACTAAGAACGAAGAAGCAAGGAGGGACGCCATGGCGGAGAGGCGGAGCTTCAGGAATGCCTTGTTCAAGTTGAGATGGTTCAGCGGGAGAGAGGTGCGGGAGGTTGTGGCGTAGAGTCGGTTGGGAGGTGGCCAAACAGGGAGAGAGCGAGAGAGCAGCGAAAGCAACGGTGCCGATGGTCGTGTGATTGGTGGATAGAGGGATCGCCACGTGGCACTTAAATCCTCGTCATTATCAGTTTGCGAGAACGAAAACACGAAGATTGAAATTCATCAGCTGGTTACAATTGGCTCTGTAGGGGTTATAAACTTCTGCCATCACCGTTTCACTGCCGAAGCCAACTGGTTTGCGTATGATAAGACGGAACTACTGCTTATCAGGATATTTACGTTTAATGTCGCTTTGTTAGGCTCTAAGCCTGTGGTCGCTAATGACGCCAATGCTATCAAGCAGCTAGAAAGAACCTTACAGTAAAGCAGAATTGTCGGCGAATATTCATATAAGAGGAAAAATGTTCTGATATTTCTTTGATTTACAAGAACAATGGTGCGATCGCCTAGTTCACCTGGGCGTACCAGATGCCCTGGATCTTCACTTCCTTGGGAACCTTGGCACCCATATCAGTGTCAGAGGGCTGCACGCTGGTGAACACTCCGCCAATCTCGCCAGTCTCAACGTTCGACTTGGCCACGCTGAAGGTGATGTTGCCGCTCAAGGACTTGTACGACTTCTCGTTCTCCTTCCTTAGCTTCTCGTTGTCACCGAAGCCACCAGCAGGGAGGGCAACGGCAGAGTCGTACCCTTGGGCACCACCACGGCCCTTGGGGTCAAGGAACGTGGCACCGCGGTAGGACGGCACCAGGAAGGACCCGCCGAAGCTGTCGGGCGTGCCAGAGGCAACCAGCTCCTTAATGGTGAAGAGGAACGGCACCCTCTCGCCACCGGACAGCTGGACGGTGACAGCGGCGTAGTCAATGCCGTCAACCTCGGTGAACTTGATCTTGTCGCCGGAGACCTCAAGGGGACCCTCAATCTCGTCCAGAGTGTATGTGAGGCGGGTCATGAGCTTGGTCTTCTGGAAATCCTCGCCCTGGCCCTTGAACTGGGACTCGGCCTTCACGGTGAAGGAGGTGGGCTCCAGGCACATCTTGGTGACCTGGTACTTGCCCGACTTGAAGGCGAAGCCATCAACACCGCCAGCGATGATGGGGCACTGGTTGGCGATGCCGCTGCCCTTCACCTCAGAGTAGGTGAGGCTCTGGAGCTCCTCGAAGGTCAGCCTGGGGATCTCAGCCTGGGCAGCCTGTTTAAACATAAACGCGAAATTTTAGGACAGGAATTGCGTTCCAAAGAATAAACAGATCTACAGAAGAGTAAGGACAGTAACACTAACCGACGCAAGCAGGGCGGTCGAGGCGAGAGCAAGAGCGGCGGTCTTGCCGGCATCAGCAGCCTTCTGCACGAAGCCGCGGACGTTCTCCTCCAGGGAGCAGGACACCTTGGAGGAGGCAGTCTTCAGGCCGAAAGCCTGAGACACGGGAGCGGCCTTCAGGGAGGCGGCATTGACCTTAGGCTGCACAAGGGACGCGGCCTTGAGGCTGGCGGAGACAGTGGTGGCAGCCATGGTTGCGGGATGTTAGGAAGACACCTGCAAACCAAGAATGCTACCAAAGAAAATCAGTTTGGACCGAGTGGGAGGCAACCAGAGTAGATCCCAAGGAGAAACGAAAGAGAGGGTCCCTCGAGGGGGGGTGAATTGGATGGGCGAAACTGCATTATCCACGAACAGATGTCGCCACGATCATCATAACCAATGTGATGACGCCACGATGGCAGTCGGTTCGTTTCTCGCCACCAGGTTTAGCACGCTGATTTCCTCGATGGTCGCACGGGTAGTGGCTGGGTGTGCTGGTGCGGTAACCTTCGTCAATGCGATTCGCGAGTGGATTCGAAACCCTGTCTGCGTACGCTCTTTACGCGCCTCTGTATTGAAGTTGTAGCCGAATTCTTTTCTTCTCTAAAAAAATGTTTCCGGTGTACTTCAGGCGACCTCAAAATTGACCTACCGAAAGTGAGGCAGCAAGTGAGGGAGCAACTGTCCGGCGCGGCTAGTTGACAGCAAACCATCCCCTTCGCTGCAGGCAGAACACACTGATCAAATGCTTCTTCCTATTAGGTAGGCCGTCTATACGCCACTACGTCTGAGGGCATCTTGTCAGTTGCTTACCCGTCTGGGTGATCTTTTTCCTCTTCAGAATTCACGGTAGTCGCGTGCAGCTCAGTGGATTTCTCCAATTCGGTAGGCGTTCTTTCTGTTTCCTTAGTTCCATTGGTCAACCCTGATTGCTGCCGCATAGTCAGCTCCAGTATCCGCGCATGCGGCAAAAATGCCGTCTGCCTCCCCAACGGTTCTAGACTCCCCGCATGGCAGCTTCAGGCAGGCGGACATGCGCGCAGCGGGCATGGGCCGGGGGGGAAACATGGGGGGAATGGGGATGCGCGGGCCCGGCATGCGGGATATGGGCATGCGGGGCCCGGGCGCGCGGGAGGGGCCGGGCGTCGTACGCGATACAGGATTGAGTGAGCTCGCGCTGCGATCCATGGCGATGCGCGACCCAGGCATGCGCGACGGGGGCATGCATCGCGGCGGTCGAGGCCCCGCGGCGTACGGCGGCCCGTACGGCGCATATGCCGGAGGCGCGGGCCCGCGGCGGGAATGGGGCGCGCAAGAGCAATGGCGGTGGGGGGCCGGTGGGGGGTACGTCTCGGGAATACCGGCGTCGGGAATAGCGCCGTACGATAGTCCACCCGAGACGACGTACGTGGAGATGGAGGACGATCCGACGGCCCACGACTCGCCGCCGTCGTACCACAGAGCGAGCGACGTGAATCCGCACATCGCCATGCTGAGGCGGCGCCGTGCCATGTACAGCAGCAGCAGATCGCACTACCTTTCGGCGCTTATCAAGCAGAACCTTCCCTATATAGTCATCGCCGTTCTGCTCATTCTTCTACTTATTCAAAACCGGCGGCAACAGCTTGCGCCAGCCTCGAATGGGGGGACTGGCGCAGCAGGTGGGGCGGGCGCGGGAGGAGGAGGCGCAGGGGCAGGGACTAAGTCGGCAGCGGGAGAGAAAGCGGAAGCAGGGAAGGGGGGCGGAGGGCAAGGGGGGGCGGGGCAAGCGCAGTCAGTGCCAGCGCCGGCCAAGATTCCAGTAGACCCGCGGGTGCTGCAGCAGCAAGGGGGCGCACAGCCGCAGCAGCAGCAAGTTCAAGCTGCAGGCGCGGCGGGCGGGGGACTGACGGCAGGGGCAGCGGGAGGGGGACTGACGGCGGGGGCAGCCGGCGGGGGCCGGGCAGAGGCGTCAGGCGGAGGCATGGCGGCCACAGCAGGGGAACAGGCGCAGCAGGGGCCGCAGGCGCGGCAGGAGGGGGAGCGGGGACCACTGCAGGGACGGCGGGAGCAGCAGCGGGGGGAGACACAGGCGCTTCTAGCCACTTCGACCCGCAATCCGACCTGAGTGACACGGAGAAGCGGCGCGAACTGGTGAAGGCGATTCTGGAGGACCCAAATTCCAAAATCGCCAAGGAGGTGACGCGCAACAACGTGTTCCGCGAGCACATGCCCACGTTTGGGTTCGTGCAGTTCGCGAGCTACCGCATGAGCGAAAGCAAGTTCGCCGTGGTGGGACTGGCGTCCCGCGTGCTCAAGACGTCGCGGGAACTGGGCCGGTGCCTGTGGAAGGAGAAGCACGGCGGCCACAGGGTCACGGGGCAGCTCGTGGGTGAGTTGGGAAAAGGGAGGGGGAGGGGGGAATGGGGCTGAGAGGGAATGGTGCAATAAGGTTGAGGTAAGGCACTGGGATGGCGGGTGGTGCCTGTGGAAGGGAAAGGAAGGGGTCACAGGGCCAGCCATGGGGCAGCTCGTGGGTGAGTGGGGGCTGAGGGTGGGGGGTGAGAGAGAAGTCTCGCTTCTGAAGGGGATTGGATGGATCTTGGATAAAACCTACACATCCTCCTTACACCTCCTTCTCATCCCACACCCATTCCCCCATTCACCCCACACCACTCCCCCCTCCTCACCTCACACCTCTCCCCCCCTCACTCCACACCTCTCCTCCCCCTTAACCCACACTTCTCCCCCTTCACCCCACACCTCCCCCCATCCTCCCTCCTCCCCTCCCTCCCACCCCTCCCCAGCCTATTACCCAGGCGACGACCACAACAAGCGGTACGAGGCGGTGGTGCTGGTGTGCGAACTAGAGGAGTCCACTGCACAGGACTTCGGAGGAATCCTGGTGGTCACAGTGGACAAAGAAGACATCGTCGCATACATCGAGGACCAGGGCCAGTACCCCTCCGCCAACCCCGCCCCGCCGTACCCCCACCGCCTCACCTACTGCTCCCCCCCGCTCGCCACGAAGCTCATCCCGATGCGCATCTATGAGTGGATAGAGTACCACCTGCACGTGGGGGTGGACCGTGTGGTGCTGTACGATGCAGGCGCGCTGGACCCCGAGATCATGGGGCTCATAGAGGGCTTTGTGGAGGGCGGGTTCGTGCAGATCGTGGACATGCGGCGCGTGGAGCAGTTTGACATCTGGGAGTCTGGGAGGTTGCTCGCGATGAATGATTGTGTGCACCAGCACGCGTTCACCTCCCAGTGGGTGTTCTTCGCCGAGATGAGCGAGTACTTCTCGTCCAGGTCCGGGGAGGATATGGCGGCCGTGCTGAGTAGGTTTGAGGGGCGGCCGTACGTGTCGTTTGGCAGCCGATGGTGGTCGCTGGAGAAGTGCGTTCAGGTGGAGGGGGCAGGGGGAGGGGCGGGGGGAGGGGTAGGGAGGGGTGCGGGAGGGAGGAGCTTGCTGGCTGTGGCGGGCGGGGGCGGTGGAGGAGGGTCGGCGTTAAGGTCGGTGGGTAATAGCACGGGAGCTGGTGCGGGTGCAGGTGGTGATGCTGCGCGCACAGCTGGAACCACAGGTGCTGGTGCTACTGCTGGTGCTGCCGGCGGTGGTGATGCTGCAACTGCTGGGACTGCAGGTGCTGCTGGTGGTACTGGTGGTGGTACTGCGGGTGCTGCAGGGGGTGGTGGTGGTGGTGTTGGTGCATCTGGTGGTGGAGCCGGTGCTGCTGCTGGTATGGGTACAGCCGGTGCGGCTGGCGCCACTGCTGCCGCTACAGCCACCACCACCATCACCACAGCCACAGCAGCAGTGACCACAGCCGAGCCGCCCCCAGCAGCCTCACCGGTGTGGGCAGTGGAGCGCATGCGCTTCCACTGGCCGCAGCTGTTCTGCACCAACAAGGACGAGTACCCGCGCGCCGAGATGTGCCTGGGGGAATTCGGCTACCGCCGAGTCGCCGTGGATCCAAGACAAGTCATGACCGTCCTGGTTCACCGCACCAGCGTGCCCGAGATGGGCGGCGACGACTTGGACGCTAGTGAGGCGCGGTTCAACCGGTACCCACTGCTGACGGAGGAGACGAGGAAGGCGTGCCAGAGAGAGGTTCGGCCAGGGGAGGTGGTGGAGTGGTGGGTAAGGGACGCTGAGGTGGCGGAGATTGCGGAGAAGGCGCGGAAGAGCCCTAAGGGGCGGCCGCGGGTCTCGTCTGTGTTGTCTTCTGCTCGAAGATGACAGGCAGAGGGGGTGCAAAGGTGGCTCAAGGTTGCTGGGAGCATAGGTGGGTGGGAGGTTGAGTCGAGGAGGCATGGGGCAGGAGGGTTTTGTATGGTGGGCTTGGGAGTTAGGTGTGTGGATGACTGGGTGGATGAGCAAGTGAGTTGTGGCCTCCCAGGGTCCTGCTCTTAGGGAGGCTGCGAACCCGCCAGCCCTGTATTTATAATTCATAGCTTAATACTTTGTAATGACAGGTCGATTGCAAGTTCGAGCTCATAACAAGCCCCTTGTGTATGACTCCCTATGATCAGCGAGTCCATGAGACGTGGACGGTGGACCGTCCTGGATGAAAATGATATGGAGCGTGGGTGTTTCTTTTAGATCTGTTTTACTGATTGTCTGCAAGCTCCTTTGAAGTATTGGTAACTACGGCATGAAGTGTAGTGTGTGATTGAAGGGGCAAGTGATGTTTGGACAAAATAAAAATATTAGAGCCTTTTCGACTTGGTTCTTGTGCGAAAAAAAGTTCGGCGTCTACAATTTCGGCCGTTTTTTTGCCGCCAAGTGCTGAGAAAGCGCGTGAATCCCTAAAGGCGTAGGGAAAAGCATTCAACATGTTAAAAGAACTAGGCAAGAATGAATAAAGGAGAGGGGTTTCACTAGCAGCAGTTGGGGTACATATAGCAAACCCTAACTGGGTTGTACTCGCTATAGAGCACCCCACTACAGGCTAGACAATAATAACATTCTGACACACCCCCATAGCCAAAGTGGGGTGTAATCAGTACAATGAGCAGGCATAGCAATAGTTCACAATTATAAGCAAAGCTAGAGGTGATCATAGAGGGCAAGTGAGGAGGAGGAGAAACTGTGAGGGCGAGAAGATGAAAGGCGCCGACTGAAGCTGCAGACACACGGGCAACAGGAGCGGCGCGCACAGTGGCTACCGAGCGCACGAGGGCACCGGACTACGGGAGTATCTGGCTCCGCGGCTACGACGAGCACACACAGGAGCAACGGACCCACAGGCGACTGGCGAAGCAGGCTCGCTGGGCTACCGAAACGCGCGAGGGCATCCGGACTACTGGCGCTGCTGGCGTCACGACGGCTACCTCCACGCAACCTCCCCCGACCGTCCCACGCCCCTCTCACACACCCCCTGCTGACACCCTAGCTCCACTTCCACGACACCCCCCTTAAACCCTAAACCTCGGCTCCCACACATCCACCCCCCTCAGCGGCAGCTGCAGCAGTGGGAGACGGAGGAGGAGGAGGAGCAGGGGACGGCGCACACACACGGCACCCCCATAGCTGCCACCCCCACACTCCTCACCCCCAAACCCTAAAAACGGGCGGAACGGGGGAAGGAGCGCGGGGGACGGCGAGGGGGACGGCGCTCGGCCCCCAGGACGCCACCACGGGGCAGCGAGGGGCCGCGCGCGGCTCCCCAGGGCGGCGCGACGGGAAATCGGGGCCGCGGGGGGTCGCGCGCGGCTCCCCAGGGCGGCACGACGGGAAAACGGGGCCGCGGGGGGTCGCGTGCGGCTCCCCAGGGCGGCACGACGGGAAATCGGGGCCGCGGGGGGTCGCGCGCGGCTCCCCAGGGCGGCGCGACGGGAAATCGGGGGGGGGGGGGGGGGGGGGGGGGGGGGGGGGGGGCGGGGACGGGATCGCGAGGCCGCGGGCGACGGGATCGGAGGGCCGCGGGCGACGGGATCGGGGGGCCGCGGGCGTCCCCCACGGTAGGAAACCGCCGCGCGCCTCGGGGCGCACGGCGGGGAGAAAACCGCCGCACGCCCCGAGCGCGCGGCGGGATGAAAAATCCGTCGCACGCCACGGGGCGTGCGACACAAAGAGTAGTAGGAGCAGCGGAAGCAGGTGGTGGGGCCCACCCACAGGATCGACCCATCTGGATCGTCCTGCTCTGATAGCATGTTAAAAGAACTAGGCAAGAATGAAGAAAGGAGAGGGGTTTCACTAGCAGCAGTTGGGGTACATATAGCAAACCCTAACTGGGTTGTACTCGCTATAGAGCACCCCACTACAGGCTAGACAATAATAACATTCTGACACAACAACCTTATTTTGTTTGCATATTCGAGTGGTCCATGTTCAAATACACATAATAGAGCCTTTTCGGCTTGGTTCTTGCGCGAAGAAAAAAAGTTCGGCGCCTACGATTTCGGCTGTTTTTGCCGCCAAGTGCTGAGAAAGCGCGTGAATCTCTATACGCGTAAGGAAAAGCATTCAACAACCTGAATTTTATTGCATATTCGAGTGGCCCATGTTCAAATACACATACTAGAGCCTTTTCGACTTGGTTCTTGTGCGAAGAAAAGTTCAGCGCCTACAATTTCGGCCGTATTTTGCGGCCAAGTGCTGAGGAAGCGCGTGAATCCCTATAGGCGTAGGGAAAAGCATTCAACAACCTGAAATTTATTGCATATTCGAGTGGCCCATGTTCAAGTACACGTACTAGAGTTTTTTTTTTTGCTTGGTTCTTGCGCAAAGAAATGTTCGGCGCCTACGATTTCGACCGTTTTTGCCGCCAAGTGCCTAGAAATAACGTAAATCCCTATGGGCAAATGGAAAAGCATTCAAAAACCTGAATTTTGTTGCATATTCGAGTGGCCCATGTTCAAATACACATAGTAGAGCCTTTTCGGCTTGGTTCTTGCGCGAAGAAAAGTTCGGCGCCTACGATTTCGGCCGTTTTTGCCGCCAAGTGCCTAGAATGCGCATCAACCCGTACAGACATAGGGAAAAGCATTCAACAACCTGATTCTTTTTTTCATATTCGAATGGCTCATGTTCAAATGCACAAACCACCCTTTCGGCTTGATTCTTGCACGAAGAAAAGTTCGGCGCTTACGATTTCGGCCGTTTTTGCCGCCAAGTGCCTAGAAAGCGCGTGAATCTCTATAGGAGTAGGGGAAAAACATTCAACAACCTATATTTTTTTCGCATATTCAAGTGGCCCATGTTCAAATACACATTCTAGAGCCTTTTCGGCTTGGTTCTTGCTCGAAGAAAAGTTCGGCGCCTACGATTTCGGCAGTTTTTGCCGCCAAGTGCCTAGAAAGCGCGTAAATTCCTGTAGGCGTAGGGAATAGCATTGAACAGCATGAATTCGGCGCCTACGATTTCGGCCATTTTTGCCGCCAAGTGCCTAGAAAGCGCGTGAATCCCTATAGGCGTAGAAAAAAAAGCATTCAACAGCATGAATGTTATTGCATATTCGAGTGGCCCATGTTCAAATACACATACTAGAGCATTTTCAGCTTGGTTCTTGCGCGAAGAAAAGTTCGGCGCTTACGATTTCGGCCGTTTTTGCCGCCAAGTGCCTAGAAAGTGCGTGAATCCCTATAGGCGTAGGGAAAAGCATTCAACAACATGAATTTTATTGCATATTCGAGTGTCCCATGTTCAAATACACATACTAGAGCATTTTCAGCTTGGTTCTTGCGCGAAGAAGAAATTTCGGCGCTAACGATTTCGGCCGTTTTTGCCGCAAAGTGCCTAGAAAGCGCTTGAATCCCTATAGGCGTAGGGAAAAGCATTCAACAACCTGAATTTTATTGCATATTCGAGTGGCCCATGTTTAAATACACATACTAGAGCATTTTCAGCTTGGTTCTTGCGCGAAGAAAAGTTCGGTGCCTACGATTTCGGCCGTTTTTGTCGCCAAGTGCCTAGAAAGCGCGTGAATCCCTATAGGCGTAGGGAAAAGCATTCAACAACCTGAATTTTATTGCATATTCGAGTGGCCCATATTCAAATACACATACTAGAGGCCTTTCAGCTTGGTTCTTGTGCGAAGAAAAGTTCGGCGCCCACGATTTCGGCCGTTTTTGCCGCCAAGTGCCTAGAAAGCGCGTGAATCCCTATAGGCGTAGGGAAAAGCATTCAACAACCTGAATTTTATTGCATATTCAAGTGGCCCATGTTCAAATACACATACTAGAGCCTTTTCGGCTTGGTTATTGCGCGAAGAAGAAAAGTTCGGCGCCCACGATTTCGGCCGTTTTTGCCGCCAAGTGCCTAGAAAACGCGTGAATCCCTATAGGCGCAGGGAAAAGCATTCAACAACCTGAATTTTATTGCATATTCGAGTGGCCCATGTTCAAATACACATACTAGAGCCTTTTCGGCTTGGTTCTTGCGCGAAGAAAAGTTCGGCGCCCACGATTTCGGCCGTTTTTGCCGCCAAGTGCCTAGAAAGCGCGTGAATCCCTATAGGCGTAGGGAAAAGCATTCAACAACTTGAATTTTATTGCATATTCGAGTGGCTTCTCCCGCTTACCATCACCCCGCCCCATTCCCCCGCTTTCCATCACCCCGCCCCATTCTCCCACTTTCCATCACCCCGCCCCATTCTCCCTCTTTCCATCACCTCGCCCCATTCTCCCACTTTCCATCACCCCGCCCCATTCTCCCGCTTTCCATCATCCCGCCCCATTCTCCCGCTTTCCATCACCCCGCCCCATTCTCCCGCTTTCCATCACCCCGCCCCATACTCCCGCTTTCCATCACCTCGCCCCATTCTCCCGCTTTCCATCACCCCGCCCCATTCTCCCGCTTTCCATCACCCCGCCCCATTCTCCCGCTTTCCATCACCCCGCCCCGTTCTCCCGCTTTCCATCACCCCGCCCCGTTCTCCCGCTTTCCATCACCCCGCCCCATTCTCCCGTTTTCCATCACCCCGCCCCATTCTCCCGTTTTCCATCACCCCGCCCCATTCTCCCGCTTTCCATCACCCCGCCCCATTCTCCCGCTTTCCATCACCCCGCCCCATTCTCCCTCTTTCCATCACCCCGCCCCATTCTCTCGCTTTCCATCACCCCGCCCCATTCTCCCGCTTTCCATCACCCCGCCCCATTCTCCCGCTTTCCATCACCCCGCCCCATTCTCCCGCTTTCCATCACCCCGCCCCATTCTCCTTCTTTCCATCACCCCGCCCCATTCTCCCGCTTTCCATCACCCGCCCCATTCTCCCTCTTTCCATCACCCCGCCCCAT